TTGTACTCGTATTTGTACTTTTTTTAGTTCTCTTAGTACTCATGAGGGTGTGAGAAATGTGAGAAATGTATGACATCTTATCTGTGATGATTTCATGTTTCTGCATATGCTCCAGTACTACCAATAAGCTATTCTGAATAAGCTGCCCCAAACAGTTTTATCACAAAGGGGCATGAATGTCATTTAACCACCAATAAGCTATCTTGGATAAGCTGCCTCAAACAGCAAGACAGCAACAGCTGCGCCAAACAGACCATTAATAGAAGTTGAATGTTTCTCACTAAAAAGAATATTTTGAGATCCGTATCATACATCAGATTTATGCTGAATGATAATAAATTATTAATAACGTGTCACAAACACTAAATTCTTAGAACCCCAAATTTCAAATGTAATTCTTACATTTTAAATCCAACGGAACAGCCTACGCTCAGCCAATTATTGCTTAAAAAATCATACTAAAAAATCGCTTCCTGCTTAAAAAATCATACTAAAAAATCGCTTCCCGAAACCGAAACCGAAACCGAAACAGAAACAGAAACCCAAATTATAGACCTTCGTAGGAAGCATTTCTTTTCATAGCTCGGAATCGGCGCTGCGGTTGCAGTCGGATGCTTAGATCCCAGCTCACCCACAACCAGCATCTCCATAATAAAAAAAAACCGTCTTCTCCATGGCCGCCATCCGCGGTAGTGCTCTGAATCGTCTGCCGAGAATCACCGTGCGGCAACAGCACTTCAATATTCGCTTGCCTTTTTCTTTCATGCCCTCTTTTTCTGTAGCTTTCTTGTTTATTCTTTCTTATGTTTTGGCTAGGTATCCAAAACGGTGGGAGGGTTTAGTACGACAGCTACAACTAAGGGTTCTTCAATCGATGGGATTAAAGATATCGTCGCTGTTGCTTCCGGGAAAGGCGGCGTAGGGAAATCAACTACTGCAGGTTACCCAAGTTTTACTTTTCTTCTGGGTGGCATCAGTTTTCCCCTTCCTTGTTGGGAGTTTATTGCATTAGTGTTGATTCTCAGTGAATCACACCCAAAGTAGTGAAAAAATATTAACTCAGGAGTACTGATGCATCAGTAATCTAATGAGGAGGTGCCACGCATGCAATGGTCCCACCATAATGTCACGTGACACCTCCTCATTGGAATACTGATGCATCAGTACTCCTGAGTTAATATTTTTTCCCAAAATAATAGAGTACAAGCTATGGAGAGAGAGACAATAATGTTTATTGATGAATAATATTATCTTCATAAAATCTTTTTTTTATCTATAGGGTAGATAGTACAATGTGATATTGCTTTTTTCTCCCATTTGAAAGGGCCTATATCAAGGCATTTTATAAGTAGGTTCATTGTCCGATCGCCTTCTGGTTAGACTGGCCAAGCTCAGTTGACTTCGGGTCATGGTGGTTAGCTTGGTTGGTTGATCGAACTTGATTGACTATCTTTGATCCAAGATGAGGAGCCTTTGGGGTTTTCATTTGGATTGGCTCTGCTAGGGGGGTTAGCTATTACATCGAGTTGGGTTTTCTATAGTGGTTGGCTCTGATGATCTTTTGTCTTGCTTCTGGCCGGTTGGCTCGTGTTTGGGTCTTTTGGTCGTCTTGTTATCCATCTCATGGCTTGGTCGGTTTTGGCCTAGTTGGCTCAACTCGTATGAATTTGCCCATTCGGTCAAGTGATCCTCATGATCTTTTTGCAGTGGGCCATCATCCGTCGTACTCTTCTCTCCTAGACCGCCATATCTCTTTAATATAAGTGTAGACATCTTTTTGATGTACAATTAAATTTTATGTTATTTAACTAGTAATTCTACATTTGTATTTCTTTGTATTTGTTAGCCAGGATTTCCAATAACTGTAGGGCTATGTGTATCATATTATTTTGCTCCATAGGTTAATGTGTAATATTGGTCATTTATGGGTGAATAGTGCTTCGTTAATTCGAATGTTGTTTTAAAAGAACATAAATTCATATGATTTCTTTGTATGTAAATTTGTCTGAGCCACCGGGCCGTAGTTGATGCTACTGGAAGCATTAAGACCTGCCTAAGTTTCAACTAAATAGTTTTTTTTTATCTTTTTGGAATGGGTGATGGGACTAAATCATGGTGTAATTTTTGCAAAAGTTAAACCCATTATAGACTTTCTAATTTAAAATGGAGGAAGAGGGAAATTTATTCTAGTTGGGAGCACATAGTAGAGGTGGCTATTGAAGTTGAATCCATTTATGAAAATTGAGTTGGGTGTACTTTTCAATTTTATAACATTGGTTGGTTAAAATTGTGGAATGCGTCATTGTATTATATGAAAATAAGACCATGAAATCTTAATGGTATTTACTGGCATTGTAGTTAGACTAGATATACTATAAGCATTCGAGTACCAATCAATCAATAAGTCATTGATAGTCAATAAAAGTTTAGAAGGTTATTTTAGTGTCAGACTATTTAATATATTCTATTTAGGCCCTTAACTTCTCAATAACATTCAAGATTGGCTAGTGACTGCTCAAATTTGATCTAAAATAATCCAACAAAGGAATTCTTTTGGATCTTATGTAAGGATTATGGTGATTAAATTGAACATATTAAATAATTAAGATTAAAATTGGCCCATAGAAATCGCCAAAGCCATTTTAATATTTTTTTCATTAATTAAGTACTTTTCAAAATTTTGAGGCGCTTCGATAAAAAAAGATTCTATAATAAGAAATCCAACCACATTATTTATTTTATTAAAGTCAATTTCACTAGCAAAACCAATGTAAAAATAATGCAAATGGAAGATGCAAGTGATCATCAAATAAAATAAATCTATTCGGCATGATATACGCAGAGATTTGAAGAAACATTGTTGCATTTGCACTTCACCGATAATTCAATATTACATAGGCACAAAACTGAGAAAAAAATCTAAGTTCTATTGAAACAAAATTGTTGTTCTTTGTATGCCTTAAACCACAAGATTTATAAGCATAAAGTTTATATCTTTAATTACAAGATAACATCATTTATGCGGAATCTCGAACTATTTGACATTCAATAGTCATGCTGATATGCTTGCATATGGGCCCATAGATAAACATAGTTCAAGTTGGTTTAAAACAAATTTTAATTAAGCTGCCCAAGTCTCAATTTGTTGATGTGATGAATCTCATTCGAGATTTTCCTGGAAATTCCTTGACTTGATCTCGAATCGACTCAAGGTTCGTTGAAGCTTCGAGTTTCAACTAGTATAAATATGTAGTGATATCGTCCTATCTTGATTTTAATCATAAAAAACGCTATATAATTTGATTATGACTAAGAGATCACAATGGGATTACACTCATGTGACCCAAGAATGACATTTTCTTATTCAGGGATACAATAGACATTCAATTGAATAAAAGATTATTCTTTTTTTCACATAATTCAATGGTCTTTTGTCAAATAAAAGATGAAAATTTGTTGCTCTTATGTGACATAAAACAAAGTTAAGTGTTGCTGAGATGAGAATGCTTATGTGGATGAGTGGCTTGACACTCAGAGACAAAATTTGAAGAGAATCTATCCATATAAGGGTTGGTGTAACTCTAGTGGAAGACAAGATTAGAGTGAGTTGTTTTAGATGGGTTGGTCAATTAAACGTCGACCATCTGATAATCCGGTCAGGAGAGTAGATGTTTTTGATTCGGTTTATGTTAATAAAGACATAGGTAGACCTAAAAAGACTAGAGCATATTGTATAAAAAATGATCTTAATCTATTAGAATTAAATGAAAGTATGACGCTCAATAGGACACAATTAAGAAAAATGATTCATGTAGTCGTCACCACTTAGTGGGATAAAGGCTTGTTGTTGTTGCTGCTGCTGCTGTTGGTAGAAGTTTAGGAATCATTGATACGAATTAGTGACTGAATGTGGATCCTGGTCAAAATGTTGTGATAGCTCCAAGATTGGTTGATATCCCCCCCATCAAAAAACATAAAAAGGAATATATATCTTTGGTAACCAGAAATAATGTTGGATTAAATTTCTACCACAATGTAGTAAGAAGAGCTCACAATGTTGTAAGAAGATGTTCACAACAAGTTACTGCTGTTCCTGCACCTGCTTTATCTTCCTGGCCCCTTACATTTTCGAAGATTTGCTTTGCTTCCTCAAAGGAGCAATAAAGCTTATCATTTCTAGAAGTTATTTTTTTTTGTTTCAGTCCAATTTACTCGGGTGCTTTTCTCTTTAATTATAGAATATTATTTGTATCACCTTATGAAATTACCTTTAGATTGTTAGCTGCATGCTTTACTATGCTCAAACTTGAAGTTGCGGGTGATTTTTGAATTCTATGAATTTGAATTTATTTTCTTATAAATTTAACATTTTTTCTGCAAATATAATACTGAAGGTACTATTATGCATGCTGATATATTTTCATCTTGGCACAATCATTGTTCTTTTATAAAGTAAACTCCTCTTTGCTTTACAGTTAATCTAGCTGTCGCACTTGCTAAGACATGCCAACTAAAGGTTGGCTTATTGGATGCTGATATATATGGACCTTCTATTCCTACAATGATGAAACTCCATGAAAAGCCAGATGTGAGTAAAGGTGCCATTCTTTTTTTACTTTGTATTGAACTGCACAATTTTTTCTGCATTCATTTGGTTGAAATATATCCTATAGATTTTTTGCCATCACCATGATTAAGCTTCCCATGGCTAAAGGTGAAGATTGTAAAAGATGTTTGATGGTTTTGTAGCAACCAAGTGTGCACAAGGGTGAAGGAATAATGCATATTACTTGTTGAAACTAATTTAGAAATTTCTTGCTTCATTTTGGAATATTTGGAATGCTTTGTTCAAATCTTAGATATGTTTTGTGGATAGGAACATTGTCTTTATAGCTAAAACAACAAAAATGAACAAGTGTGGTTCTGTGGTAAATACATTGTTTTGTGTAAAAAGTATATGGGTGATAAAGTGCTGCAGGCTGCAATTGTTGTATTTATCGAGCATGCTTCATATTTAATGTTGATAGTCTAGATGATAGCAGTGCAACCTTGGGCACTTTCCAAACTGAAATTGAAAGTTTTGGGCGTTTTAATTGCTTCTTACATCTCTTTATAAGTTAGTGTTGGCTTAAATTTGATTCCCTTGTGAAAATGTGCAAAAAGCTTAGTTGTCATTCATCTTCATGTTATGTGTTCTTTCGCAAATTCCTTTCCTATTCTTAGCCATGATGTTTACCATGCCATTCAACGAGGCCATTGAATTTTTTGTTATATCTTTTATTTATTTTATTGTTATTATTTATGTATGCACTTGTCAACTAAATTGTGTACCTTTTCTAGATTTATGGGTTTGATGTTTGGAAGGAAATCTCAAAAAAGATGGTTTTGATAAGGTTTATTTATAAGCTAAATAAATTGAAAATTAAACAAATAAATAATTGTCCAATATTGTTTCTTTTTTTTACATACCTACTTATAATGCATTTTGCTTGGTTGAGTGAAATGGGTATATGAATTCATTCATATTTGTAATCCAAAGCTGATTGCTTAAGTTGAGCGAACTAAAACAATCAAATGTACTTTATATTTTGGTTTGGAAATAAACATGAACCAACTGTGTGTATATGTTTATTGAACTTGTTACGATTGTCTTATCAACATAATTTAACTCACATAATACTCTGAACCATCAGTTCAGACAAACTTGCAATTGGTGGCAGCCTAACTGGCAAAGATCCAAAGTTTATATTCGTCAAAAGTGCAAATCTGTGCTCTAAAACCTTCTAATTAGTAACTTAATGACTGGGGGGCTGTTTTGCTTTAGTTGTTTTATTTCGTAATTTTAATTTAAGTTTATTCAAGGGGTTGAGAGTATGTTTATAATAACAAACCTATGAGAATGGGATGCGTGCTCTGTTATTATTTCTTCTTTGTTATGGGTCTTCTTTGTTATGGGTCTTCTTTGTTCTGAGTTGGTTTCATTGTTGGTTCAGTTTATGAATATGGATCAGGCATGGACTGCTGCTGTTGGTTTTTATCTAGGAAGATTTACACACATACTATTCAATTTGTAAACTTCAAATTTTCACACATGCCACCTTACCTATGCATAAAGAGGTGCATTTCACTTTTTAAAAGTTATACTAGTGTAATTTTGATGTTATATGAAGGATTTGGGTGGTATAAATGTAAAAAGTAAAGTTTAGGTGTTAGATATGTAAATACATTGGATGTATGCTAGTGTCCCTTTTATTAATTGAACTTTGTTATATCCACTTGGGCAACAATCAGTAATGTTGTGTAGCTAGAGGTGGTCTTATGGTTATTGGTGGAAGCAGGTTAGGCAATGGCTATATCTTTCAGTTCTTTTATCTCCTGATTCCGTTTGTGTGCTTTTGATGCAGAGACTTGCATTAGTTACACCCTTTGAATCAAACTGATTTGGTATTTTCCAACCTGGAGGTTTTTCTTAATTCTAGCTATGACAATTGAGTAATGCATTAGAGGGCTTGTTGGCTTAATAAAAATTTTTTCTGGTTCAAGCTTGTGTGCTTTGTTTGATATTAATTCATTTGAGTGCTGTGCAAATAACCATAAATTTTCGAGGTCATTTTTTTGTATCAATGTGAGTTTTATATTTTTTTATTTGATGATTTCCTTGCCATTTTCTTTTTTATCTAGATAATTCATTATTAGTTTGGCTTGTTTGATTGGTTTTAGGAAAACCATTTATAATTGTCTTCTTATTGTGGAGTGAATCCTAATTGAATTGTACTTTAGAAGTTCTCTCTTAATTTCTATTTTAAAGATGTATAAATGTCATGTAAATTCTGATTTGCATCAAAAGAAAACAAATTATACTTTAATGGGTTGTCTTTAAATTGTGAAGTCAACATTAATTTCTCGATGTTCGTTCATAAAATCATTGAATTGCATTTAAAAACCTAGATCTTTTGATTTCTTACGTTATATCGGGTAGACTTTAAATTTTTATTATTGCGGCAATTTGAAATGGGTATGGCCAATTACAGTTCGTTGAAAGGATGAGATTTTGACTACTTTGTAAAATCAAATGGCTCAACTTGTAAATAAACAAAATTGAGTGATATCAATTATGCTAGGTAGTGAATTGGAGCTTGGAAAATAATTAATTTCATGCACATGACGCATAAGTTGAATCTAATCATAATATTATGAAACCATTTATTTTAATGTTGACATGTTCATGAGCACAACAATCATTATGGTAGGAATAATCAATTTAGATTTTATAGGGTGCATGATAGTAAATTTTATGAAAATTAAGGACATCAAAATTTTGATGCAGACAATGATTTAACTATTATGGCTTAAGCTATCGCCAGATTTTACATTTTATCCTTTTTGTAATGCTAAATTTATTAGGAGGAGACGAAGCGTGGACTCATGCGGTAAGTAGAGAAGAAGGGGCCAGCGGAACATGAACGAGCAAAAATGAAGGGGAAATTAGGGCAGCAGTGTGTTGACGCGGGGCGTTTGAAAGCAGGCGGAATACTTTCCGTGTTTGAAAGCGGGTGGAGGGCCTGCTTGTCTGGAGTGGTTCATCTAGACTTTTCCTTAGTGTGGAGTGACGTCCAGTCCCTTCGGCCCACCCCTAGTTATTCTATTATTATAAATTTGCTTTCATAATGTATTAAAGTTAGTTTTTGCGTGTGTTTGTTTGAGACAGCTGCCGACTTCTTTGGTTTAACCTTCTAAGGCTGTTTTGAAGGGTCTGAGTAGTGCTCCTGCTATATCTCGCTCTTGAAATAGTGATTTATCCTTTCTCTACCTTTCCCCATCCTTCCCGATTCCCTCCTTTGCTTCCCTCCATTGCTGCCACCACCCAAAACCACATCCCCTTGCTGATTTCCTACTATTCAATCCCTCCTATCTTGCTGCTGCCGTCCAAATAACAACTGTTGTTTCTTGCTACTATCTAGTCATCCAACTTTGCTGCCACTACACAAACTCTCTTCTTTTTGCGGGTTCCTGCTGTTCCAGCCATCCCTACCTTTGCCACCCCCTTTCCTTCGCTGCCATCATCTAGAAAACAACAAGCTTGCTGTTTTTCTGCTCTTTCAGCAGCCTGCTGTCCCTACCAATTCACTTTGCTGACCACTACCACCTCTGGATCTAATCCTAGGGTGAATTTGTGTTGTTGTTTGTTGCAATTTCAGATTTATGTTTGTTTGTTGTAATTTTCTATTGGAAGTTGGTAATAATATTTATTTTTTCATTGTTATTTGGTTTAATAAGTTGGTTTGATCAAATTATTAAAAGGTGTGAACGATTTAGATATCTTGGGTCCGTTGTCCAAAGCGATGGTGATATAGATGGGGATGTTAATAGTAGAATTCAAGTTGGTTGGTTGAAGTGGAGGAATGCTTCGGGCCTTTTGTGTGATAGAAAAGTACCGCTAAGACTGAAAGGAAAATTTTATAAGATGGTGGTGAGACCTGCAATGCTCTATGGCGCTGAATGTTGGCCTTTAAAAGAGAAGCATAATAATAAGTTAAGTGTTGCCGAGATGAGAATGATTAGGTGGATGAGTGGCTTTACACTTAGAGACAAAATGCGGAATGAATATATTCGTGATAGGGTTGGAGTAGCTCCTGTGACAGACAAAATTAGAGAAAGTCGCCTTAGATGGTTTGGTCATATTAAACGTCGACCATTAGATGATCCGATTAGGAGAGTAGATGTTTTAAATTCGACTTGTGTTAAGAAAGGCAGAGGTAGACCTAGGAAGACTTGGGCTTATTGTATTAAAAATGATCTTAATTTACTAGAACTAAATGAAAATATGACACTAAATAGGACGCAATGGAGAAAAAGGATTCATGTAGCCGACCCCACGTAGTGGGATTAAGGCTTTGTTGTTGTTGTTGTTGTTGTTTGGTTTAACTCCAGTATCATTTAGTATCAGAACTAACTTAACCCTAGTCCTCTCATAGGGTTACCAAAATCATCCCTTCTTTGTTGTTTTTTAAAATCTGCAACCCCAAAATTTTTTTCCCCACCCTAAATCAACCCAACACACCATCTTTCACCTACCAAACCTAAACACTAGGCATGCTACCAAGGAGTCAATTGCCGGAAATCTGATCCAAAGGCAAGACCGCTTATGAGAAATCAACAAAGAGATGTCTAGGAACTTTCTATGCAAAATATGTAGTGAGAAATCCTCCAAGTAGAGGCTCGCCCCCTTCGACAGGAGGCAATCCATAAGCGCTACTCGTAACCACAATGGTGATTTGTTAGATCGAAAGGATGAAGAACCACTGCCCCAAAAAATTGGAATGAAATATAAGAGGAAAAAACAAGATATGGACTTAAAGGTGAATTTACTAAATTTTGACGGTCATAGGGATCCGAAAGAATTCATCGAGTGACTTCAGATAGTGGAAAATATCTTTGAATACAAAAATATCCCACCAGACAAGATCGTAAAGTTAGCCTCCATAATGTTAAAGAAGAGTGCATTATTGTGGTGTGAAAATTTGAAGCACATACGCCAGCGAGAAGAGAAAATTAAAATCATTACATGGTCCAAGATGAAACGAGAGATGATCGACAA